AATTTGAAGCTTTCTGTTGTGTCAGGATGCCGAGCGTCTGGGCTGGTTCAGGTCGCAGTCATCTGTGTGGGCGTGGGTTCGAATCCATTCTGACAATTAATTTTATTCCGTTATTTTTATAGTTCTCTGAATATAAAATATAGGAAGCTTTCGTCGTGCTAGTATGGCGAGGGTTGAAGCGCGCTTACCCCTGTCCATTTTGGTCGTGTGTTCGAATTCTACCCTGACAAAAATTATTTATTCCATCATTTTATAGTTCTATAGACTAAATTTAGGTAAGCTTTCGTGTGTCAGGATGGCCGCGGTTAAGGCGCGTTCAGGTCGGTCCACTTGTGTGGGGGGTTCGAACCCTTTCTGACAATTAAATTTTATTCCGTTATTTTTTATAGTTCTCATGAATTATAAAAATATAGGGAAAGCTTTCCGTCGTGCTAGGATGCCGAGCGGTCTGAAGCGCTGCTTCATCTCAGTCACTTCTTTGGTCGTGTGGTTCGAATTCCTACCACTGACAAAATATATTTTATTCCATCATTTTTTATAGTTCTCATGATAAATTATAGGAACTTTACTTTGCGTCAGGATGGCCGAGCTTAAGGCGCGTTCAGTGCAGTCCACTTGTTTGGGTGGGTTCGAATCCCACTTCTGACAATTTAATTTTATTCCGTTATTTTTTATAGTTCTCATGAATTAAACTATAGGGAAAGCTTTCCGTTGTGCTAGGATTGCCGAGCGGTCTAAAGCGCTGCCTTCAATTCTCTGTCCACTTCTTTGGTCGTGTGTTCGAATTCTACCTCTACAAAATTATTTTATTCCATCAATTTTTTTATAGTTCTCATAGACTAAATTATAGGTAAAGCTTTTGTTGTGTCAGTATGGCCGAGCGGGCTAAGGCGCTGCGTTCAGGTCGAGTCCAATTGTGTGGGCGTGGGTTCGAATCCACTCTGACAATTAATTTTATTCCGTTATTTTTATAGTTCTTTATGAATATAAATATAGGAAACTTTCCGTTGTGCTAGGATGGCCGAGCGGTCTAAAGCGCTGCCTTTAATTCCTGTCCACTTTTTTGGTCTGTGTTCGAATTCTACCTTGAATAAATTTTTTTATTCCATCATTTTTATAGTTTCATAACAAATTATAGGAAAGCTTCTGTTGCAGGATGGAAATGGCTAAGGGGCTGCGTTCAGTCCAGTCCACTTGTGTGGCGTGGTTCGAATCCACTTCGACAATTAATTTTTTTCCGTTATTTTTATAGTTCTCTGAATTTTAAATATAGGAAAGCTTCTGTTGTGCTAGGATGGCCGAGGGTCTAGCGCTGCCTTCCCTTTTTGTCCACTTCTTTGGTCGTGTGTTCGAATTCTACCTTGAAAATTATTTTATTCCATATTTTTATAGTTCTCGATAAATGTAGGAAAGCTTTTTGTGGGGTCAGGATGGAAAAGGGCTAAGGCGCTGCGTTCAGTTGAGTCCACTGCGGGCGTGGGTTCGATCCCATTCTGACAATTAATTTTATTCCGTTATTTTTATAGTTCTCATGAATTATAAAATATAGGGAAAGTTTTTTTCCGTTGGGGGCTTAGTGAATGGCCTAGCGTTTTTTTTTTGTTTCAAGACGCTGCGTTCAGGTCGGCCAAGGGGGCCTACCTTTGGGGTGGGTTCGAATCACACTTGACAATTAATTTATTCCGTTATTTTTATAGTTCTCATAATTAAAAATATAGGAAAACTTTTGTGTGCTAGGGTGGCCGAGCCTAAGCCGCTTCCTTTTTGTCCACTTTTTTTGGGGTTTTGTTCGAATTCTACCTTGCAAAAATTTTTTATTCTATTTTTTTATAGTTCCATAAATAAATTATAGGAAAAGGTTTTTGTTGTGCAGGATGGGCCCCCCGGGCGAAAGGGGTGCTTTTAGGTTGCATCCACTTGTGTGGGCGTGGGCAATCCCCCCTTCTGACAATAAAATTTTTTCGTTTTTTTTAAGTTCCGAATTAAAACTATAGGAAAGCTTTTTGTTGTGTAGGATTCCGACGGTTAAAACGCTGCCTTAATTTTCTGTCCACTTTGGTCGTGTTCGAATTCTACCTCTGACAAAATTTTTTTTATTCCATCATTTTTTTTATAGTTTCTAGGATGGCCGGGCGGCAACGGCTTTTCCTTCAATTCTCTGTCCCCTCTTTGGTCGTGTGTTCGAATTCTACCTCTAAAAATTATTAAAATTTCCCTCAATTTTTTTTGTTCTCATAGACTAAATTTAGGTAAAAACTTTTTTGTACCCGGATGGCCGACGGCTAGGGCTGGGTTTTGGCCCCAGTCCACTTGTTGGGGGGGGGTTCGAATCCCTTTTTGAAATTTAATTTTTTTTTCTTTTTTTTTAGTTCGAATTATAAAAAATAGGGAAAATTTCCCGTGCTAGATGCCGGGGCGGTCTAAGGCTCCTTCAATTTTTGTCCCTTCTTTTTTGTGTGTTCGAATTTACCCCGAAAAAATTTTTTTTATTCCATAAATTTTTTTGTTCTTTAAAACTAAATTTAGGGAAAAGCTTTTTTTTTTTTGTCAGGGTGGCCGAGGGGTTAAGGCGCTGGTTCAGGTCGCAGTCCACTTGTGTGGGGTGGGGTTTGAATCCCCCTTCGCAATTAATTTTTTTTCCGTTTTTTTATAGTTCTCAATTAAAAAAATAGGGAAAATTTTTTTGTCAAATATCCGGCGGGTTAAAGCCTGCTCAATTTTTGTCCCCTTTTTTGTGTTTCGAATTTACCCTGAAATTTTATTCCCTCATTTTTTTTTAGTTCTCATAGACCAAATTTAGGTAAAGCTTTTTGGTTTTTCAGGATGGCCGAGCGGGTTAAAGGGGCGGTTCAGTTTCCCCGTCCCCTTGTGTGGGCCGGGGTTTAATCCCACTTCGACAATTTAAATTTTTTTTCTTATTTTTTATATTTCCTGAATTATAAAAAATAGGGCTTTTTGTGTGCTAGATGGCGGCGGTCAAGCGCTGTTCAATTTTCGCCACTTTTTTCGTGTGTTCAAACCCCACCCTGACAAAATTATTTTTTTTTCCCTTATTTTTTTATAGTTCTCATAGACTAAAAAATAGGAAAAATTTCTGTTTTGTCAGGGTGGCCGAGCGGGTTTTAAAGGGGCGCTTCAGGTCGCAGCCATTTTTTTGGGGGGGTTTGAACCCACTTTTGACAATTAAATTTTTTCCGTTATTTTTTATTTCTCAGAAATTTAAAAAATAGGGAAAGCTTTCCGTTGGTAGGGGTGCCGAGCGGCCCAAGCGCTCCTTCACCCCCGCCACTTCTTTTCGGGGTTCGAATTTACCTGACAAAATTATTTTTTTTCCATAATTTTTTTGTTCCCCAGACAAATTATGGAAAGCTTTTGTGTGTCGGTGGCCGAGCGGTTTGGGGGCCGGTTCAGGTCGCAGTCCACGTGTGGGCGGGGTTTAATTCACTTTGACATTAATTTTTTTTCCGTTATTTTTTTTGTTTTCATGTTTTAAAAAAAAAAGGAAAATTTCGTTGCTGGGCGAGCGGTTTGAAGGCGCCTTTTTTCTTCCACTTTTTTTCGTGTGTTCGAATTCTACCCTGACAAAATTTTTTTTATTCCATCATTTTTTTTTAGTTCCCCATAGACTAAATTTGGGTAAACTTTGGTTTTTTTTCAGGGATGGCCGACGGTTTAAGGGGCCCCGGTTAGGTCGCAGTCCACTTGGTGGGCGTGGGTTCGAATCCCCCTTTGAATTTAATTTTATTCTTATTTTTATAGTTTCATGAATTTTAAAAATTAGGGGAAAACTCGTTTTGCTAGGATTTGGGGCGGTCGAAGCGCTGCCTTCAATTTTTGTCCCTTTTTTGGGCGTGTGTTGAATTTACCTCCGACAAAAAATTTTAAAATTTTTTTTCCATCAAAATTTGTTTTTTTTTTTAGGAGGCCGAGCGGTTCGCGCCTTTTGGTATCCATTTTGGCGGGGTTCGAATCCCTGAAAAATTTTATTCCTTTTTTTTTTATAGTTCTCGAATTTTTAAAAAAAGGAAAAAACTTTCCGTGTGGATGGCCAGGGTTAAGCGCTGCCTTCATTTCCCCTCCACTTTTTTGGCGTGGGGTTCGAAATTCCCCGACAAAATTTTTTTTATTCCATATTTTTTAAGGGGTTTTCTAGGGTGGCCGAGCGGTTCAAGCGCTGCCTTAAATTTTTGTCCACTTTTGTCGTGTGTTCGAATTTACCTCTGAAAAATTTTAAAATTCCCTCATTTTTTTTAGTTCCTTGCTAAATTATAGGTAAAAACTTTTGTTTGTGGGTGGCCGAGCGGTTTAAGGCGCGGTTCAGGTCGATCCACTTGTGTGGGTGGGTTGAATTCCCCGACAATTAAAATTTTTTTTCCCTTTTTTTTATGTTCTAGAATTTAAAAAAAAAAGGGAAAACTTTCCGTGTGTAGAAGCCGAACCCAAACCGCCTTTAACCCCCTGTCCACTTCTTTGGTCGTGTTCAATTTACCCTGACAAAATATTTTTTTAAATTTTTGTTTCATAACTAAATTTAGGGGAAAGCTTTCGTTGTGCAGATGGCCGAGCGTTAAAGGGGTGCGTTCAGGGCGCGTCCCCTTTTTGGGCGTGGGTTCGAATCCCCCGAAATTAAATTTATTCCCTTATTTTTTTTAGTTCTCATAATTATAAAAAAATAGGAAAAAATTTCCCCTCGGGTAGATGGCCGGGGTCTAAACGCTGCCTTAATTCTTTCACTTTTTTGGTTTTGTTTAATTCACCCGGGGAAAATTATTTTATTCCATCAATTTTTAAGTTTTCTGACTAAAATTTTGGTAAGGGTTTCTGTTGTGCAGGATGGCCCCGGGGGTCAAGGCGCGCGTTGGGGCGCGTCCACTTTTTTGGGGGTGGGTTCAATCCCTTTTGAAAATTTAAAAATTTTTTTTTCCTTTTTTATATTCCTGAATTTTTAAAAAAATAAAACTTTTTGGTGGATGGGCCGAGCGGTCTGAAGGGTGCCTTCAATTCTCTTCCCCTTTTTTGGTCTTTTGTTCACACGCAAATATTTTATTCATAATTTTTTTTAGTTTCCCCTAACTAAATTTAGGAAGCTTTCTGTTGTGTCAGGATGGCCGACGGTTGGCGCGGTTCGGTCCAGTCCACTTGTGTGGGGGTGGGGTTTGAATCCACTTCTGACAAAAAATTTTTTTCCATTTTTTTTAGTTCTCATGAATTATAAAAAAATAGGGAAAACCATCGTGTAGGATGGGAGGCAAAAAACCCCCCCAATTCTCCCACTTCTTTGGTCGTGTTTCAATTCTACCCTAAAAAATTATTTTATTCCCTCAAATTTTTAAGTTTCATAGACTAAATTTAGGTAAGTTTTGTTGGCGGATTTGGGGCGGCAAGGCGCCGTTCGGTCGCAGTCCCCTTTGTGGGGGTGGGTTAATCCCCTTTGCAATTAATTTTATTCCGTTTTTTTTTTTGTTCTCTGAATTAAAATATAAAAAGTTTTTGTTTTTCTAGATGGAGCGGTCTGGCGCTCCTTAATTCTTGTCCTTTTGGTCGTGTGTTCGAATTCTACCCGGAAAATTTTTTTATTCCATAATTTTTTTGGTTTTCCCTAATAAATTATAGGAAAGCTTTTGTTGTTAGGATGGCCGAAAGGGGGTCTAAGGCGCTGCGTTCAGGTCGCAGTCCCCTTGTGTGGGCGTGCGTCCCACTTCACAATTTTTATTCCTTTTTTTATAGTTCTCGAAATTTTAAAAAATAGGGGAAACTTTCCCTCGTGCTAGGATGGGAGCGGGGCTGAAGCGCTGCCTTCAATTCTCTTTCCCCTTCTTTGGTCTTGTTCAATTCTACCAGAAAAATTTTTTTATTCCATCAATTTTTTTAGTTTTAGTAAATTTGGTAAGGCCTTTGTGTCAGGATGGGCCGAGCGGTCTAAGGCGCTGCGTTCAGGTCCAGTCCCTTGTGTGGGCGTGGGTTCCGAATCCCCCTTCTGACAATAAAATTTTTTTCCGTTATTTTTATAGTTCTCATGGATTATAAAATATGAAACTTTTAAATGTGCTAGGATGCGAGCGGTCTGAACGCGCTCCTCTTCTGTCCCCTTCTTTTTGGGCGTGTGTTCAATTCACCACTGACAAAATTATTTTATTCCATCAATTTTTTAATAGTTCTCATAGACTAAATTTAGGTAAGGGTTTCTGTTGTGTCCCGGATGGCCGAGCGGTCAGGCCTGTTCAGGTCGAGTCCCTTTGTGGGCGTGGGTTCGAATCCCACTTGACATTATTTTATTCCCTTATTTTTTTTAGTTCTCATGAATTAAAAAATATAGGAAGCTTTCCGTCGTTTTAGTATGGGGTCTGAGCGCTGCCTTCTTCTCTATCCACTTCTTTGGTCGTGTGTTCGAATTCTACCACTGACAAATTATTTTTTTTCCATCAATTTTTATAGTTCTCATAGACTAAATTATAGGTAAGGGTTTGTTGTGTCAGGATGGCCGAGCGGTCTAAGCGCTGCGTTCAGGTCGCAGTCCCTTGTGTGGGCGTGGGGTTTGAATCCACTTCGACAAAATTTTATTCCGTTATTTTTATAGTTCTCATGAATTATAAAAATATAGAAAACTTTCCGTGTGTAGTATGGCCAGGTCGAAGCGCTGCCTTAATTCTCTTATCCACTTCTTTTTGGGCGTGTGTTCGAAATTCTACCCTGACAAATTTTTTTATTCCATCAATTTTTTATAGTTCTCATAGACTAAATTATAGGTAAGGCTTTCTGTTGTGTCAGGATGCCGAGCGGTCTAAAGGGGCTGCGTTCGGTCGCGGGCCCGGGGTGGGCGTGGTTCGAATCCCTCTGACAATTTAAAATTTTTTTCCGTTATTTTTATAGTTCTCATGAATTATAAAAATATAGGGAAAACTTTCCGTCGTTAGTATGGGAGCGGCGAAGCCTCCTTCAACTCTTTCCCCTTCTTTGGTCGGGGTTCGAATTCTCCGGAAAATTATTTTATTCCATCAATTTTTATAGTTCTTGATAAAATTTAGGTAAGGGTTTTTTTGTTCAATGGCCAGGGTCTAAGGCGCTGCGTTCGGTCAACCACTTTTTTGGCGGGGGTTTAACCCTTTTGAAAATTTTATTCCGTTATTTTTTGCCTGTTATTAAAAAAAAGGGAAAATTTCCCTTTGGGTAGGTGGCCCACGGTCTGAAACCTGCCTTTAAAACTTTTTCCTTCTTTGGGGTGTGTTCGAATTCTACCTGACAAAATATTTTTATTCCATAAATTTTTTAGTTCTCAAGACTAAATTAAGGTAAAAGGGCTTTCTGTTTGTGGATGGCCGGCGGTCCAAGGCGCTGCGTTCAGGTCCCGTCCCTTGTTGGGGGTGGGTTTAAACCTTTAAAAAAAATTTATCCGTTTTTTTTTTTTCTCAATTTAAAAAGGAAAGTTTGGGTTTTTAAATTTCCCCGAAATTTTTTTCCTTTAATTTTTTTTTTTGGTTGGGGTTTTGTTCATTTTCAAAAATTTTTTTTTTTTTTTAAATTTCCCTAAATTTTGGGGGGTTTTTTGCTTTTTCCCTTAAGGGCTGGTTAAGCCCTGTGTGGGGCCACCCCTTTTTTTTCGTTTTTTTTTTTTTTTTGAATTTAAAAATGGGAAATTTTGGGGTTTTTTCCATTTTTAAGGCCCCCAAAAATTTGATTTTTTTTGGGGGGGGGCGAATTCCCCTTTTTTTATTTCCAAATTTTTTTTTTTTCCCCCGACAAATTTATGTTTTTTGTTTTAGGGAAAAATTTTTGGAAAGGGGGTCCATTTTGTTTTGGGGGGGGGGTTTAACCCCCCTCAATTTCTTATTTTTTTTTTTTTTAAATTTTAAAAAAAAAAAAATTTGTTTTAGATTGGGGGGGAAAATTTTTTTCAATTTTCCCTTTTGGTGTTCGAATTCACTTGCTTAATTTTTTTTAAAATTTTTTTTTTTTATAAAAAAAATTTGGGAATTTTTTAGGAGGGGGCCCCTTTTAAAAGGGCCGAGGTCCCAGTCCCCTTTTGGGCTTTTGGTTTTTGAAAAATTTTACCGATTTTTTTATTCCAAAATTTTATAAAAATTCCTGGGGGGGGGGGGGGGGGGGGGGGGGGGGGGGGGGGGGGGGGGGGGGGGGGGGGGGGGGGGGGGGGGGGGGGGGGGGGGGGGGGGGGGGGGGGGGGGGGGGGGGGGGGGGGGGGGGGGGGGGGGGGGGGGGGGGGGGGGGGGGGGGGGGGGGGGGGGGGGGGGGGGGGGGGGGGGGGGGGGGGGGGGGGGGGGGGGGGGGGGGGGGGGGGGGGGGGGGGGGGGGGGGGGGGGGGGGGGGGGGGGGGGGGGGGGGGGGGGGGGGGGGGGGGGGGGGGGGGGGGGGGGGGGGGGGGGGGGGGGGGGGGGGGGGGGGGGGGGGGGGGGGGGGGGGGGGGGGGGGGGGGGGGGGGGGGGGGGGGGGGGGGGGGGGGGGGGGGGGGGGGGGGGGGGGGGGGGGGGGGGGGGGGGGGGGGGGGGGGGGGGGGGGGGGGGGGGGGGGGGGGGGGGGGGGGGGGGGGGGGGGGGGGGGGGGGGGGGGGGGGGGGGGGGGGGGGGGGGTGTAAAGGGGAAAACTTTTCCGTTGGTGGATGGCCGAGCGGTTAAGCGCTGCTTCATTCAGTCCACTTTTTGGGCGTGGTTCGAATTCCCCCCTGACAAAATTTTATTGTATTTTTTAGTTCTCATAAATTTTATTATAGGAAGCTTTGTTGTGCTAGGATGGCCGACGGTTTGGCGCTGCCTTCATCTCTGTCCACTTCTTGGTCGTGTGTTCGAATTCCACCTCTGACAAATTTTTATTCCATAATTTTTTTTTAGTTCTCATAACTAAATTATAGGAAGGGTTTCTGTTGGTCAGGATGGCCGAGGGGGTTTAAGGCGCGCTTCAGGTCCAATCCACTTGTGTGGGGGTGGGTTCGAATCCCTTGACAAAAATTTTATTCCGTTATTTTTATAGTTCTCATGAATTATAAAAATAGGAAAACTTTCCTGTTTTAGGATGGCCGAGGGTCAAGCGCTGCCTAATTCCAGTCCACTTCTTTGGTCGTGTGTTCGAATTTTACCTCTGAAAAATTTTTTATTCATAATTTTTTTAGTTCTCATAACTAAATTATAGGAAAGCTTTCGTTGTGTCAGGATGGCCGAGCGGTTTAAGGCGCTGCGTTCAGTCGCGGGCCACTTTGTGGGCGTGGGTTCGAATCCACTTCTGACAATAAATTTATTCCGTTATTTTATAGTTCTCATGAAATTTTAAAAATATAGGAAACTTTCCCTCGTGTAGGATAGGCCGAGCGGTTAAGCGCTGCCTTCAATTCTCTGTCCACTTCTTTGGTCGTGTGTTCGAATTCTACCACTGACAAAATTATTTTATTCCATCAATTTTTTATAGTTCTCATAGACTAAATTATAGGTAAGGCTTTCTGTTGTGTCAGGATGGCCGAGCGGTCTAAGGCGCTGCGTTCAGGTCGCAGTCCACTTGTGTGGGCGTGGGTTCGAATCCCACTTCTGACAAATTTTATTCCGTTATTTTTTATAGTTCTCATGAATTATAAAAATAGAGAAAGCTTTCCGTCGTGCTAGATGGCCGAGCGGTCTGAAGCGCTGCCTTCAATTCTCTGTCCACTTCTTTGGTCGTGTGTTCGAATTCTACCTCTGACAAAATTATTTTATTCCATCATTTTTTATAGTTCTCATAGACTAAATTATAGGTAAAGCTTTCGGTGTGTCAGGATGGCCGAGCGGTTTAAGGCGCCGTGTTCAGGTCGCAGTCCACTTGTGTGGGCGTGGGTTCGAATCCCACTTCTGACAATTAATTTTATTCCGTTATTTTTTATAGTTCTCATGAATTATAAAAATATAGGGAAAGCTTTCCGTCGTGCTAGATGGCCGAGCGGTCTGAAGCGCTGCCTTCAATTCTCTGTCCACTTCTTTGGTCGTGTGTTCGAATTCTACCTCTGACAAAATTATTTTATTCTATAATTTTTTTATAGTTATCATAGACTAAATTATAGGGAAAGCTTTCTGTTGTGTCAGGATGGCCGAGCGGTCTAAGGCGCTGCGTTCAGGTCGCAGTCCACTTGTGTGGGCGTGGGTTCGAATCCCACTTCTGACAATTAAATTTTATTCCGTTATTTTTTATAGTTCTCATGAATTATAAAAATATAGGGAAAGCTTTCCGTCGTGCTAGGTATGGCCGAGCGGTCTGAAGCGCTGCCTTCAATTCTCTGTCCACTTCTTTGGTCGTGTGTTCGAATTCTACCTCTGACAAAATTATTTTATTCCATCATTTTTTATAGTTCTCATAGACTAAATTTAGTAAGCTTTGTGTGTCAGGATGGCCGAGCGGTTAAGGCGCCGTGTTCAGGTCGCAGTCCACTTGTGTGGGCGTGGGTTCGAATCCCACTTCTGACAATTTAATTTATTCCGTTATTTTTATAGTTCTATGAATATAAAATATAGGAAAGCTTCTGTCGTGCTAGGATGGCCGAGCGGTCTGAAGCGCTGCCTTCAATTCTCTGTCCACTTCTTTGGTCGTGTGTTCGAATTCTACCACTGACAAAATTATTTTATTCCATCAATTTTTTATAGTTCTCATAGACTAAATTGTAGGTAAGCTTTCTGTTGTGTCAGGATGGCCGAGCGGTCTAAGGCGCTGCGTTCAGGTCGCAGTCCACTTGTGTGGGCGTGGGTTCGAATCCCACTTCTGACAATTAAATTTTATTCCGTTATTTTTTATAGTTCTCATGAATTATAAAAATATAGGGAAAGCTTTCCGTCGTGCTAGTATGGCCGAGCGGTCTGAAGCGCTGCCTTCAATTCTCTGTCCACTTCTTTGGTCGTGTGTTCGAATTCTACCACTGACAAAATTATTTTATTCCATCAATTTTTTATAGTTCTCATAGACTAAATTGTAGGTAAGCTTTCTGTTGTGTCAGGATGGCCGAGCGGCTGGCGCTGGGGTTTCAGGTCGCAGTCCATTGTTGGCGTGGGTTCGAATCCCCCTTCTGACAATTAAATTTTATTCTTATTTTTATGACTCATGAATTATAAAAATATAGAAAGCTTTCCGGTGTGCAGTATGGGAGTTTTGCTGAAGCGCTGCCTTCATTCTGTCCACTTTTTGGGCGTGTGTTCGAATTCCCCCCCGAAAAATTATTTTATTCCATCAATTTTTATAGTTCTCATAGACTAAAAATTTTAGGTAATTTCGTTGTGTCGGAGGGAGGGCTGGCGCTGGTTCGGTTTTCCCGTTCATTTTTGGGGGGGGTTAATCCCCCTTGAAATTTTTTTTTATTGTTATTTTTTTAGTTCTCAGAATTTAAAAAAAAAAAGGAAAGTTTTGCGGGGGGGGGTTGGGCCCCCTTTTTTTTCCCACCCTTTTGGTGTGTTCGAATTTCCTCCCCAAAATTATTTTTTCCATCAATTTTTATAGTTTTCTCTTTTGGAATTTTTTTGGCCGAGCGGTCCGGGGCTGCTTCACCCCGTCCATTTTTTGGGCGTGGGGTTTGAATACCTTTTACAATTAAAATTT